CTGCAAGTGTGGGTGTTCTTATGCATATGCCCTCTCTTCTTATCAGCTGGACGCTTCACTCTCCACTCTAGTCCTCTGTGGCTATGTCACTGACTCTGAGCCCAAGAGTCCCCAGGTCTTGCCACACTGCTGGCCAACCAGGTCTCCAGCCGGGATCACAGGAGTCTATTGAACGTTGTAGGGCTTAGCTGGCCGCTTCATTGCTGTTTTTCCCTCACTTCCCCTTATCTGTTACAAACGTAGTCACCAATCAGAGCGTGTATTCCCATTGAGTCTTAGTTTTGGCACATGTACTATTTTTATATTTACATTTTGAGTGAAAAAACAAAAGGGCAGAGAAATTGTCAGGACCCACCCCGGCCCCTGCCTGGGACCTCACAGGTTGGCACAGGTTCCTGGGCGGGAACACTCAGCTGCCCATCCCCGCCCCCTGTATCAAAATCCTTCTTGCTTCTCCTGGGAGTAAGGGAGGTGGATGTGGGAGTGGCTCCCAGGGACAGCCAGTGTCTGACTGGGCTTCAGCCCGGGCTGCCCACTTTTTCCGCCTGCACAGGTGGGAGGAGAAGAAAGGCCCTGCAGTGTCCCCAGGCTCCCAGGACGAGCGTGTGCTGGAGTTACAGAACCGCATCCAGGAGAAAGCGACTGAGCGCCGAAGGCGGGAGATAGCGCTGCACGAGGCAGCGCCACGAACCATGCGTCGCAAGCCTAGGGTGAGTCGGGGGCGTGAGAGCGGAAGGATTAGAGGGGACACCCCGCAGAGTGTTGGAAGTAGGGCACAGGGCTCCGGGGTGGAGAGGGCCGAGTTACGTACGGTGCTCCAGTGTAGAGTGCCTGGGGGAAGGGGACAGGTGGTGTGCAGCGGTGTGTCTGTATGATGAGGAAACACGCTGTATCTATGGGTTGTATGGTGCGGGGAGGGCATCTGGCTGGGTCCGTGGGGATCTGGCTGTTTCCGTGAGAGGTACAATGTGCAATGAAAACACAGTGTCCGTGGGAAGCGCGGTGCACAGTATGAGGACCCAGCTGTGTCCGTAGGTGGGGAGTGATATAGGATGGGTGTGGTTGTGGTGTCTGTGGGGGTCTCAGTGTGCAGGGGACCGGCGATGACCCCTGCCCTCCACAGGCGCAGCTGGAGGCGCAGCACTGGCTGGAGCTGGAGCAGAGCCGGGAACGGAGGCTGAAGGCCGTGCAGCAGGGTGGCCCTGCGTGCCACCTACAGGTCACTTGAGCCTGATTTAACCAGGAATAAAGCCTGCTGGGCCAGTGTGCCTCCTTTTCCTTTGCCAGGCAGTGTGCGCATGAGCTACCCGCCCTCCCACCACCCACCCCTGCAGCCACGCCCTCCAGTCACTAAGCCCCTTGCAGCCCCACCCACACGCCTCGCCCTTCCAGCGCCACACTCTCTGCTCTACCGGACCCCTGCATGTCAACCCCATGTCCTGCTAGCCACACCTCGTTCCTGGCACCTCTGGGGGGTCGGCTTCCAACATGCCCCAGTAAGGGCTGCTGATGAAATTTAGGCCATGCAATGATTGCATGGGTTGTATTTCGCTAAATAAGTATCCTTTGTTTATCTGGAATTTAAATTTAACTTGTTGTTAGGTGCCCTGCTTCGGTTCTAGCTTATAGTGACTTTATGCACAAGAGAACACTGGCTGTACTTCTTCCAACACAGATTTGTTTGCTTTTCTAGCAATCCATTGTACTTTTAGTATTCTTCTCCAACACTATAACTCAAATGCATCAATTCTGCTATAGTCTTCCTTATTGTCCAACTTGCCCATGTATATGGTAGTTATGTGCCATGGAGTCAGTTCCACCTGATAGCGACCCTGTACAGGGTGTCCGAGGCTGTACATTTTTATGGGAGCAGAAAGCCTCATCTTTCTCCTGTGGAGCAGCTGGTAGTTTCAAACTGCTGACCTTGAGGTTTGCAGCTCAATTCGTAACCAGTACACTACCAGAACTCCTTACATGTACATGAAGTTACTGATAATACCATGGCTTGGGTCAGGCACACCTTAATCCAAAAAAGTAACATCTTTGCTCTTCAACACTTTAAAGACATCTTGTGCAGCAGATTTGCCTAGTGCAATAAATACACCGCTTGATTTCTTGACTGCTGCTTCCATGAGTGTTGCCCCACCCCCACCCCACCCCCACCCCCACCAAGATTGGATGTGACCAGTCTTCACTTGTGTCATCTCATGTAACCCTCGGCCCTGGGATGACCCTGGGGATGTAGCAGCTATCCCACAGGTCTGAGAGAGATGAAGTAAACAGCCCAGGGATCCAGGTGGCAAAGCTGAACTTGGTGATTTTAGCACCTCCACCCACAACAGCTTCAGCATCACCTTAGAGGCTAGGGGAACAAGCTCCTCCAAGACTGGGACCAGGACTGAATCACTGTCCGAGAGTCACACACCCACACCCACCACCGCTACTTCTACCCACTCCAGTACCTGGGTATGGCCTTGAGGGCTGCCCTTTGCAGTGAATATACAAGGAGGAAATACTGCCTCATTAGGTAGTGGGACCTCTGGTAGTGTAGTGGTTACGAATCGGGCTGCTAACCTCAAGGTCGGCAGTCTGAAACTACCAGCCATTCTGCAGGAGAAAGATAAGGCTTTGTGTTCCCATAAAGATTTACATCCCAGAAACCTTGTACAGGGTCACTATGAGTCGGACCCAGCTCCACAGCACATAACAACAACAACAACAACAGACCAACTTCACAAAAAATGCTAATAGGTGTTCTTTGGACTGAGAACCAACAACAGCTGATGACAATCTGATATTACCCTATATAACAACACCACCCACAACTCAATCCAAGTACAGAAGTATTTAAAGTCAAACAAACCTACAAGACTGAAAATAATGAACCAGAGATATCAATGTATAGTGATGTCAATTACAAAGCAAAAAGAGGGAATAGTGTAGATACAGAACTTGTAAATGTCAAGGAAGTCAAATAGATTCCAAGATGAGACAGACTGTTTTAAGCAGGGAAAAAAAATAAATAAATTACAGGGTAACCTCAAAGAAAATTAATACACTTGCACATCAAAATTCAAGCAGCAGTAAATCAGAAAGATTTAGTAAACTTTAACACAAATGAAAATCCACAAACAAAATGAATTTAGCATAAAAAATTATGTGAAACAAAGTATCTAGCAGCACCACACAAAAACAAAAAGAAAAATGATAATGATCAATTCATACCTATTAATAATTATACTGACTGTAAGTGGATTAAATGCCCCAGTTAAAATGCATAAAGAACAGAATGGATAAGAAAATAGGATCCTTCAATATGCTGTCTATAAGAGACATATCATAAAGATGGAGACAGCCTAAATGCATCACCAGAAGAATGGTTAAACAAACTTTGATATATACACACAATGAAATACTATAAAACAATGAAGAGTAGAAATGAATCTGTGAAACACCTCACGACACAGTTGAACCTGGAGGACATTATAGTTGTTGTTAAGTGCCGTCAAGTTGATTCCGACCTGCACATACAGCGACCCTGTATAGGGTTTCCAAGGAGCAGCTGGTGAGCTTGAACCGCCGACCTTGCAGCTCAAACGGCTTTGCAGTCTGGTGCATTAACCCACAGCACCACACCAAGACTCCAAGATGAGTGAAATTAGTCGATCACAAAAGGACAAACATTGTTTGAAATCAATGTTGTAAAAATTAAAAAAAAAAAAAGGTTTCCTTGATAAAAGAACCCATCTGTGATGATTACTGGGGCAGAAGTTGGTAAAATTATTTGTGGGCTAGAGAGTAGACACAAGTTAACATGGGTGATAGGGCAGGCAGTATACGACAAGAGGGAAGTTTGCAGAGGTAAGATAAAGACACAGGGAGAAATGCAATCATTAAAGTGAATAGAGGTAAATGCTGTTAACTGTTGGTACCCAGAGGGGATTGCAACCATGTGGAATCCTTGTGTGGCACTGTGGGATAATGCACTGGACCTCAAGGTCAGGGGTTCAAATTCACCAGCCACTCCTCAGAAACCCTGTACAGGGTCTCTATGAGTCTGAACAGACTCCAAGGCACCTAACAACAACAGTGAAACAAAATGTATGGTTTGTTGAATGTAAAACTGATGATCTGCTCTGTAAACCTTCACTCAATGTACAATAAAAAGTTAAAAATAAAGAGTAACATACATAATGACTGTTTTTCAATATCATAGCTTCAATGTATTAAAGTTACAAATAGAAAAATCCTAGTTTTTCCTTAAGCTTCGAAATTCAAATGTCTAATCTTGCTCTATTTAGAAATTTGATCCTTTTAAACTATTACTTTGATTAGCCATGTATGGGCCCATTTAGAACCTGAAATTCCTTTACACATTTTAAACTGCATCTATAAATGTACACTTTTATTTGCTAACATTTCAGTTTTCTGGCTTCCCAAGTATTTGAATAATCCTAATAGAAATATTGGAGTCCTGGTGTGATGCTGTGGATTAATGCACCAGACTGCAAAGCCGTGTAAACTGCAAGGTCGGTGGTTCAAACTCACTAGTCGCTCCTTGGAAACCCTGTATAGGGTCGCTGTGGGTCGGAACCGACTCAACAGCACTTAACCACAGCAATAGAAATATTAAATGTATTACATTAATCTTAAACTTACAATTTCTGTTGAATATTCCAATCATAATCACAAACATTGGTAAAAACTTCTTTCAATTTAAAATCACTAAAAACAAACTATCCAATCTTATATTCTACATAGGAATCTAGAGATTTATCTGTCAGATACTCCGATACGCCAAGTTCCCTTACAATTATGTAAAATAACACATAAATTGTTGGTGAAAATTGAGGAGGCCAATGAGTAAATTCTTGACTGCTAACCTCTGGTAGCGTAGTGGTTACGAATCAGGCTGCGAACCACAAAGTCAGCAGTTTGAAACTACCAGCTGTTCTTCAGGAGAAAGATGAGGCTTTCTGCTCCCGTAAATTTATGATTTACAGCCTCGGAAACCCTGTACAGGGAGAGTCGCTATGAATTGGAGCCGACTTCACAGCACATAAACAACAACAAACAAGAGGTTGGGTGTTGGGACTCAGCAGCCACTGCAGAGAAAGATGTGTTAGTATACTTTCATAGCGAGGACAGCCTTGTGTACAGCTCTATTGTGTACTACAGGATCACAATGTATCACAATGGACTCCAGCGCAGCAGGTTTGATTTGGGATATTTTTATTGGGTGAGAGAACTGCTGAGACTTGCTTAAAGGTTGGAGCTGGGATTCCAACTCTGGCAAGGAGGATTCAGGGTTTGGAATCTCCGATCTCTGGAGTTGTTCAAGATGCTCCTCCTCCAGGCCTCGGCCTCAACCATAGCCCCGTTCCCAGGACCCCACTGCGGCAGAATTACTCCTGCTCAGGTTCGGTCCTTCCTGTCCCGACACCCATGGGCCTTGGGATGTTGTTGTTGTTGTTAAGTGCCATCATGTTGGTTCTGACTCATAATGACCTTCTGCGCAACAGAATGAAATGCTGGGCCATCCCCACAATGTCTGTTAAGCTTGAGCCCACAGCTGCTGTTGCCACTGCAGCAACCCATCTTGTTGGGGATCTTCCTCTTTTTCACTTAACCCTCCACTTTACCTAATATGATGTTCGTCTCCAGGGACTGGTCCTCCTCACAATATGTCCAAAGTATGAGAGATGAAGTCGGGCCATCCTGGCTTCCAAAGAACATTTTGGTTGTACTTCTTCCAACAAGGATTTGTTTGTTATTGTAGCAGTCCATGGTACTTTTAATATTCTTCTCCAACGCCATAAATCAAATGCATCAGTTCTTCTATGGACTTCCTTATTCGCTGTTCAACTTTCACATGTATAAGAAGCTACTGAAAATACCATGGCTTGAGTCAGGCACACCTTAATCCTCAAAGTAACATCTTTGCTCTTGAACACTTTAAAGACATCTTGTGCAGCAGATTTGCCTAATACAATACACCGCCTGATTTCTTGACTACGTTTACAATAGTGTTGATTGTGGATCCAACCAAATGAAGTCTTTAACAACTTCAATCTTTACTCCATTGATCATGATGTTATTTATTGGTCCAGCGGTGAGGATTTTTGTTTTCTTTTCATTGAGGTGCAATCTATGCTGAAGGCAGTTGTCTTATTTTAAGTCTTGGCTTTCAGCAAGCAAGGCTGTATCATGTGCATATCGCAGGTTGTTAGTGAGTTTCCCTCCAATCCTGATGCCACTCTTTACCTGACACCTGGGTCCTCCAAGAACTGATTCTTGTGCCCTCCCCGCCTTCCCCAACTGCTTCCCATTTCTGTGCTCTTCTTGTACTGGTAGCCTTCAATCTTCTCCTCTACCCCACACCCCAGGTTCTGGGAACACGACCCCCTCTTCTGGAACTCTGTCCTTCAAGCCCTTCAGTTCCTAGCATTAGCGTCCCTTCCTCGAGGGAGCCCTGTCGAGGAGGCAGCAGATTCAGGCTTGATTTCCAACTGAAAGCCAGACTCCGGGCCTCACGTAGGCTGGAGTGCAGACTTCATAAAGGCTAATCCATGGCGAGGAAATCTAAGTCCGAAAGACTGGCTGAAGTGACCCCGGTACTCTGGACTAACGTCTGGCCAGGAGCACGGTGGCTGGTGTGCTGGCCTGTGACCTAGGCGGGCTTTCGGAGTCCACTTGGCTTCTGACACCACGAGTTGGGTCGGACCCATCCGGGTACCTGCTGACCCATTGCTACGCCGGTTAGCGGACCACAACTCCCAAGAGGCCTTGGGAGCTGGCTGGCGACCGTAGGGCGGCTCTCGTGAGAAGGCGGGAGCTGTAGCACGCGGACGTGGGCGGGGCCGGAAGGAGGCTACTTTCAAAGTAGTATTGATGGTTCACTTATCCAATAGGATTGAAAAATCTCCGTACCAAAACCGGTTGGCCGAGGGCGGTGGCCAATAAGGACGCGTAGAAGGCGGTGCCGCGCCCTCCCGAGCGGATGTGGACCGCTGTTTCGGCGGCGGCGTCTTGCTTGAGGAGTTCTACTCAGCTGCTTAGGAAGGTTCTTCCTCCTCAGAGTGCCCTGGTGGCGGAATACCGGGATAAACTAACTGCAAGTAAGGCCAGGCCTTGCGGGAACCGAGCAGCCAGTCAAGGTTCAGGCATATTCGCGGTTTAGCCGCTCCGCGGCCTGCTAAGGCCTCAGCGTCCCGCGGCTCGGGAGCCGCCTCTGCACGGCGCTGATCCACCCAAGGGCCCGAAGCCGGGCCTTCTCCCCGAGGTTCCGGGCTACGTGGACGCCCGGTCCCCTCCCCGGGCTGCGCCTAGGTATCGAGCCCGACGCAGGGCGGCAGCGGAAGTGGCGAGGCTTCTGTCTGTGCCCGGATTCCTTCTGGCAAGCATTGATCGCTGGGCTTAATCGGTGACCGGGGAGGGAAACTGAGGTGGGTGGAGGGCACGCGACTCGCCCAAGGTCACTGGGGGAGGCTGGCATCGGGCTGTGCGGTCGTTCCGGGAGTTACGGGCCGGGGTTTTTGTCCCTCGCCCACGGAGCCTCCTTTGTGTGGTCGTGGCCCGTGCTTGGCAGAAGCGGGGCTGGGGGCATGTGGGCGGCTCCTCTGGGGGCGCTGGGGACCGGCCATGAGGCCCCAGGCATCGAACTTCTCCGCCGATGGGCCAGTGGAGGAAGAAAGGGAGCCATTCTTGCGGATGGCCGCTTTTGTCTTCCTTCGGCCGGCCGTTGCCAATCACGCCATCTCCAGTTTCTGTTCCTGGGGTGGGGGTCCGAGCCGCAGCCCCAGAGGGGAGACTGAGGCCAGAGGACTGGCGATCCGCCTTTCCCAAGGGGCACGGCCAGCTCGTGGGTCGGGGTGCGAGCTGAGAACCCAACGAAAAATGGGGGGGTCTGGAAGTGGGGACGGAGGAGGCTTGTTTGGCTCCTTTTAATCTAGGAGTTGAGATAAAAACAGAAACATAGAAGTGGAACGTTGCTGGCTTTTTGTGTCCCCTGAAACTGGAGCTTCCAGCTCGGATTCAGAAAATCTTCAGTCCAGTGTTCCCTAGACTTTCTAAAATTTACATTTAAAAATTTTTAGCTCCCTAAGAAGCCTCTTTAGATATGTTTTACCTCTCCACTTTTCCCCATGAAATTAATAAATATGTATATATTATATTAGGTGATAGTTTATACAGCAAATTGGGTTTCCCTTTATCTTTTTAATATAAATTGCACCGTGCCTTTGGTTACGATTTTTACAGTGTGTCAGCATTTTCACTGTGTTTCCATCGATCTCGCTTCCCTCCCCTCTTTTGCCTTCTCATATTTGCTTGAGATGTTGACAGTTGGGTTTCATAGGTAATTGTTGAAGGGCGCACTTACTCACAGGTGGTATTGTTTATTTTATTAGCCAGTTTATTGGTAGAAAGGTGATCTGCAGGAATAGCTTCAATTCCGAGTACAAAGGTTATCTTGGTGTGATAAAACCGAGGTTCCTCCTAGTCTTGATCAGTTCAGTAGTGGGTGCATGACCTTTAAGTTTTTGTTCTGTGTTGTATTTGTCCTTTTGTGATTGATTAATTTCACTCAGCATAATGTCCTCCAGATTCAACCATGTTGTGAGGTGCTTCACGGATTTGTCATTACTCTTCAACATTTTGTAGTATTCCATTGTGTATATGTACCAAAGTTTATTTAACCATTCTTGTAATGGGCATTTAGGCTGTCTCCATCTTTATGATATCTGTGTCTTGTAGACAAATATTGAATGATCCTGTTTTCTTATCCATTCTGCTCTTTTTGTCTCTTGACTGGTAACTTTAATCTAGCTCTGGTAGCGTAGTGGTTACGAATCAGGCTGTGAACCTTAAGGCCAGCAGTTCAAAACTACCAGCTGTTCCACAGGAGAAAGATGAGGTGTTCTCCTCCCGGAAATATTTACAACCTCGGAAACCCTGTACAGGGTTGCTATGGGTTGGAACTGACTCGTCGGCACTTAACAACAACAACAACATCAGATGGTATATGATAAGGAGTCCTGGTGTGGCTTTGTAGGATAAGCACTGGACCACAAGGTCAGTTTGAACCTCACGGTTCCTTGGAAACCCTACATAGGGTAGCTATGCTTCAGAGCTGGTGGGGGGGGGGCTGCAAACCCTAAGGTCAGTAGTTCAAGAACCAGTTGTTCCACGGGAGAAAGATGAGGCTTATTTGCTCCCATAAAGATTTACAGCCTCGGAAACCCTGTACAGGGTCGCTATGAGTTGGAACTGACTCCATTGTACATTGCCACCAACCACCAGCACCATGAGTCAGAACTGACTCCATGGCACTTAACAACATGAATTGATGGCTGTCATTTTTTTCTGTTTCTTTGTTCCACACATTTTCTGTTGAGTTCATTTTGTTTGCGGGTTTTCTTTTCATCTTCCTGTCTGTTGTGCCAATGCCTAGTAAATGTTTCTGATTTTCTGATTTAAAATTTTGATGTGTAGGTTGTTATTTCTTGGAGGTTACCCTGTAGTTTATTAACTCTCAACCACTTTAAACAGTCTGTTTTATCTTGGAATCTACCTGACTTCCTTGCCATTTGGAAGTTCTGTAGCTGCACTATTCCCTCTTTTTTGCTTTTGTCTTATAGGTTTGTTTTACTGTAAATACTTCTGTGTATGGAGCTCTGGTAGCTTAGTGGTTTGAGTTAGGCTGCTAACCTCAAGGTCAGTAGATTGAAACTACCAGCTGTTCTTTGGGAGAAAGATGAGGCTTTCTGCGCCTGTAAAGATTTACAGCCTCAGAAACTCTATACAGGGTTGCTGAGTTGGAACCGACTCCATGGCACATAACCAACCAGTCATACCTGGATTGGACTCTCGGTGTGGTGATATAGGCCTAAAGCACTAGACTGGGAACCACAAGGTCAACAATTCAAACCCACCAGTTGCTCCTTGGAAATCCTCTACAGGATTTCTGTGAATCGGAATCGACTCAACAGCATATCTGGATTGAGTTCTGGATGGTGTTGTATATATGGTATGTGCTTCACATTGTTATCTGCTGTTGTTGGTTCTCAGTCCAAAGGTCGCACTTTTGCATTTTTGTAAAGTTAGTGTTGTTGTTACAAATTCTGTTATATTCTGTTTATTAGGAAATGTCTTGATTATGCCATCGTATTTGAGGGGCAGCTTTGCTGGGTATATATGATTCTTGGTTGGCAGTTTTTCTTTCAGAATTTTGTATGTCATCCATCCTATTACGTTCTTGCCTTAGTGATTTCTGCTGAGAAATCAGAGCTTAGTCTTACTGGTTCTCCTTTATAGTTCACTTTTTGTTTTTCCCTAGCTGCTCTCAGGATTCTTTTCTTGTCCTCGAGTTTGGAAAGCTTGATTATAATATGTCTTTGTGATTTTCTTTTGTGATCTACCCTGTTTGCGGTTCATTCAGCTTCTTGTATCCTTGTCTTCTGGTCTTTCATGATATTAGGGAAGTTTTCTTCTAACAACTCTGACAATTTTCTCTGTGCTTTTATTGTCTCTTCCTGTTCTGGAATTCCGATCACCCATAAATTGTTCCTATTCATGGTGTCCCATATAACTTGTAGGCTTTCTTTGTTTTGTTTTGTTCTTTTCCATTCTGTGTTGTGATTGTTTTTCTAGCATATTAGTATTGAGAGACTTGTCTTCAAATTCACTGATTTGGGCTTCCATTGCTTTCAGTCTTCTCCTTTGCCCTTTCAATGTACTATTCAATTCTGAGATATTAGCGTTAATTTGAATTGCTAACTGCAGGTTTTGTATTGTTTCAGAATTTGCTTTATTTTGCTGTTTGTTCCTGTAGTGTTTTCCTTGTCGGGAATTGGAAAGGTTTTTCTGTGTTCGCCTCACTTTCCTCCATCTTTCTGTCCATCTGTTGAAGGGGCCAAAAGAACATTTCTTTTTCAGTTGGTTCCATTACCTTTTTTCCCCACTCAGAATTTTTTTCTGTCTCTGGATCTGGGTCATTTCTTTGGGCCGTTCTGTTGTTTCTTGGTGTGAGCTAAAATTGCCTGTTGTCTCCTAGGCATTGTGGTATTGTCATCTTACTGGAAACAGTGCTGTTGTTGGGCCTGGAGGGCAGAAATCTGTGAGTGATGGAACTCACGAGGTGGTTCTGGAAGCAGAGATCTTGGCCCTAGATGGAGTTCCTGTTGGCCTCACTGTTATCTGTGTTTGGAACACCCAATTCAGAATTAGTTCATGGGGCCCTTGATGGAGCAGGTTTCACAGGGAAGCTGGGGGCAGGATGAGTGGTTAAATGCTGGTCTGGTGACTGCAGGTTTTGTAGGTCTGAATCAAGGCTCTAAAGTGGTGCAGCCAGCCCCTGTGGCTCCAAACTCCTAGAGGGTGGGGGTAGGTGAGGGTGGGAGCTGACCACACCTCTGGTCACCAGGGGAGCATGAGAAAAAAGAAGAAATCTCATTTTCCTAGTTGCCCTCTTGAATCTGCTCTGCACGTCCTCCCCTTGCTGCCAAAGCTGCGCACAAGTGGGTCGAGCCACATCTGACCAGCTGTTAACCAGTCGGTCTTGTCCTCTGACTGTCCCTGCTCGGCCTCTTCTCCCAGCAAGTATTCCATCCACCTCTCAACTTCAGAATTGTCCTTTAGGTCTCGTTTTTTAATTTTGTCGCTCTATCTTGGTTATAGAGGCTCGGCCATCTGGCTGAAACCCATCTTCTTCAGAGTCTTCCTCTTTTTCACTTAATCCCTTGCTTTTCCAAGTATGATGTTTTTCAGGGACTAGTCTCGCCTGATAAGGAGCTCTGGTAGCGTAGTGGTTACGAATCGGGCTGCGAACCTTAAGGTCAGCGGTTCGAAACTACCAGCCGCTCCGCGGGAGAAAGATGAGGCTTTCTACTCCCGTAAAGATTTACACCCTCGGGAACTCTATACAGGGTCGCTATGGGTCGGAACCTACTCGACGGCACTTAAAAACAACAACAACAGTCTCGCCTGATAACATGTCCAAATTATGTAATTATATCCACAATGATTTCTGGGAAAGAGTGTGGAGGGAGGGTCCCACTTAATAGGTATTCATTCTTTGTGTGTTGCCGGTATTTTTAACATTTTGAAATGGTTTACCTATATGTTCGGTTGGTAGTTATGTGCCGTGGAGTCAGTTTCAACTCATAGCAACCCTGTACAGGGTTTCCGAGACTGTAAATCTTTACAGGAGCAGAATGCCTCATCTTTCTCCTGCGGAACAGCTGGTAGTTTCGAGCTGCTGAACTTGCGGTTCGCAGCCCGATTGGTAACCACTATGCTACCAAGAGCCCCTTATGTACATATTTAATTGTCCTCAAATTAGTAATCTTTGAAGGCTAAGGTGGAACAAGTAGAATCTTCTGGGGTTGGTGGTTTTTATTCTTGAGATGTTATTTATTTGTG